TTCACTTAACTGCTTGCCTCCCGCTGGGAGGGGAGCGCTGTGGGCAAAGCGGGCACCTGGCACAGGATGATGGCACCCCTGTCTTTCGGGGAGCCCCACCGCCTAGCACCAGGCTCTCTACTAGCCCCTCACAGGTCCTGGTCTGGGCTGAGCAGGAGGGGCCCATGTGTTCACCACCAAGCAGGGCCCTCGCCAGACACAGAGCAGGACCTGGGGTGTGGCCGTGACATGGGGGGGCACCCCCCCACGTGAGGGCTCACCCAGAGCTCCTCTCACTGCCACAGCCTTCAGGGCAGGGCAAGAGGCTGCGGGAGCCCCAGTTCCATTGGCCTGGTCAGGGCAGGTCTGGGGATGAGCAGGCACTCCCCGAACAGATCATATGTTGTGCCCCCCCCCAATTCCTCTGTTGAAACCCTAACCCCAGTGGGATGGTGTCTGGAGGTGGGCATCTGGCAAGGGCTCAGGGTTAGACAGTCACGAGGATGAGGTCCCCACGATGGGACTGGTGCCCCACAAAAAGAGGAGAGACACCGGAGCACTGTCTCTGCTGCGTGAGGATGCGGTGAGAAAGCAGCTCTCCGTGGCCTGGACCCTGACCTGACGCCCAGCCTCCAGAACGGAGAGGATACACGTCTGTTGCTCAAGTGTGCCAGGCTTCAAGAGCCGTGCCCAATAACCCAGTCTCGGGGCAGATGGACAGCAGAGGGGGCCGCGGCTGGCTCACAATGCCCTAGGGGTGGGCGTGAGGGGGGCATGGGGGACCCCACGGCCACCCCCGAAGGGATGCTGCCCATGCTCAGGCTGAATTCCTCTTTAATGAGATGTCACTTCAGAAAAACATTTCAGAGCCTTCAAAATCGTAGCCCAAACCTCGTCAAACCACCCGGAGATTACTTAAGATTTACCGCACAGACACAAAAATAAAATAAAATAAAGTAAGGCAGCCCTGCGCGCAGCAGGCCCTGTGACAGCACCATTTGTAGTCGGGACGGAGCGGCCTCCAGACTCATCTGCTTAAGCACAGCGGCTCCTGTTTACTCCGCGCTTTCGCGTCAAATGAATTTGGAAAGAGAAAAAAAGTGACAGGCAGTTTAGGGATATAAGTCACATTTCAGCTTCAGTTCAGATTAATGACCTTGCTGGAAGCTGCCGCCGAGGGCAAAGGCAAATCCAAGATCTGAGAACAAAACATTAAATCTTTGCTCAGCGTGAGCCTCAGCCCTCTGGGGCGCTCGCAGGACCCTCTGCCGCCCCCCACTGCACCCCACACCCCGGGGCTGGTCTGGGCACCAGTGGTACGAGGTCCTAGGGGCCCAGCCCGGCCTCCGGTGGGTCCTGAACCGATGCGGCCCACGGCCTCTGGGGCCATCAGCCACTGCCCCTGCATCCAGACAGCCCGAGGCCAGGAGCCTGCCCGCCAGGAGGTGGCAGTTGGCACCGCAGACAGAGCCCCCACATGCAGTTAAGAATCCTTGCCAGGAGGGGCCTGCTTTTCCCCTGGTCCCACCCTCCGGGGACAAGGGTGGCCGTTGCCCTGCTACCTCCACAGTCATTCTAATGCCAGGCCCCTTGTGGCGCAGGACCGAGCGTGGCAATCCCCCAACAACAGTGAGGGCTGTCATCCCTGGGACCG